GAAAGAAAAACATCAATTGGTTATCGCCTGTATGTGCCCTGACCGAGGATTGAACCCACAATCTCCTTATGTGCCCTGACCAGGAATCAAACCCACAACCCTTTGGTGTATGGGACAACACTCCAACCATCTGAACCACCCAGCCAGAGCAATCTGTATTACTTTTTAAAAGCTGCATAATATTGCTTTGCATGGATAGTCCATAATTTAATCAGTCTCTTACTGATAGACATTTAGGCCATTGATAACCTTTTATTGCTACAAAAGAGGCTGCAATGCATATACCCTTGTAAACATGCCTCTACACACATGCCCAAGTACATCTTTGGAATAAATTCCTAGAATTCAAATTGCTGGAACAAAGGTAAATCCTTTTTTTTTTTTTTTTTTTTTTTTACAAACATTGCCCAATTTCAGGGCTTTTTTTTGTTGTTGTTATCAAATGATCTTAGCTAAAACACCCATATCAAATGATCTTTAATTGAAATATTCTCCTTTGTAGTTCCTTTTGTTGATGTTTTGATGTTGTTGTTGCTGTGTTGTTGTTGTTAATCCTCACCCAAGGATATTTTTTTTCCATTGATTTTTGAGAGAATTGAAGGGAGGGAGGGAGAGAGGTGTGGGGAGAGAGAGAGAGAGAAACATCAATGTGAGACACATTGCGTGGTTGCCTCCTGCATGTGCCCTGACCGGGGCAGGGAATTGAACCTGCAACCCAGGTATGTGCCCTTGATTGAGAATTGAACCCACAACCCTTTGATGCGTGGGCTGGTGTTCTAACCACTGAGAAACACTAGCCAGGGCTCCTTTGTAGTTCTTAACTAGCAGGGCATTCCACTGCACTACTGCTGATTTGTTGATGTCATCTATGATGTCATGAGGGTGGCAGCCATCAATATTGCAGCTCACAGACTGGGCAATCCAGGGCAATTCTTAACTTAATGTCTATATACCTACTAGGTGTCTGTGACTGGGTTTAGAAGGGTGTCTGTAAACCCCCTGAAACTATGAAAAATGTCAAATGTGTGTTTTTCTCGAGACAGTATTCATAGCTTTAATCCGATTCTCAAAGGGGTCTGTGACTCTAACAAGGATAAGAACCAGTGAGTCAACAAGTCCTTGTACAGCATCAAAAAGCAACTGTAGCAGAAGCTGAAGCTAAGCAGGGCCCAGGGAATGCTTTCCTGAGCTCCCTGGAGGAGTGAGGGGGGGATGCTTGAGGCTGATTATTATCACTGGGCTTGTACCTATAATGGACCTCCTCCAAGGAAAATGGCTCAATTACACGTAAGTGAGGAACCTTGCTCCCAATCACCACAGGGCCCCTCTACATTACTTTCTGCTAGTAACTTACTATTACCTCTTGGAAGTGGAAAGGTGAGTGCCCTAAACCAAAGTTTCGAATCCATAGTGATTCTTTGGCCATTCATGGGGATCCCTGCTCTGTGACAAGTCAGGCTACTCATGCTGCCTTATGTCTAGGCCTTAAAGGGTTAATGGTGTTGAGGAAGAAAGTTAAAGGTCTTTTCCAGAGTAATTTACATTCTGGCATTTAGCTGCAATTTATGTCTGCTGGTGATTATAGATAAAAGATTCACTGTGGTATTCATGTCTAGCAGTCCAGACCAAGAAGTGATATGGCAATTTCCTGACCTCAGACATCTTGAGCCTTTCAAAAGAATTCTTCAGAGTGGTGGTTCAGGTTTCCATAGCAAACACTTTCAGTCTAGTTCAAACACAACTGGACACCAACAACTTACTCTCATAAAACCAACAAGAGGCCTTAATAGAAATCCTAAATTCCTGGAGAAATTAAACTTTATTTTTATTTGTTTGATTTGCATATACTGTGAAATGATTACCACAATAGGTTCTGCCAATACCCATCACCTCAGATATAATAAAAAGAAGAGAAGAAATACGTTTCTCCACATGAAGAGAACTCAGGATTTACTCTCTTAACATCTTTCTTATATATCATAGAGCAGTGTTAACAATCTTTATCACATTGTACATTACATCCCTAGCCCTATTTATCTGAGAGAAATTAGTGTTAATATAGTAACCCATCTCAGTTTCAACTTTGTTTATTTTAAAATAAGCAAAAAAACTTGTTGGAAATCTATATTGGTCTAGAGGTGTTGGGCACTGTAAAACTATGGGGTGAATTTGATGTGATAGGTATAATAAAGAGGTATAATAAAAAGGGAGAATGGGGACAATTTCAGCCTTGAGCAATGGCAATATCATAGCCAATGAGGTTTATTTGAGGTGTGATTAATGCTCATTGAGAATGGGGCCAATTTCAGCATTTACCACGTTATCTACAGTTCATAGCATAATAACAGGCCTATCGTTTCATTAATGCTATATTTGTCAAACATGCACATATTCATAAAATGGTTAGAAGCATGCTTCTAAAACTTAGTTTATCAAAGCAAGGTCCAAGGAACACCTGAATTACAATCATCCAGGGAGCCTCCTAAATAGGCAGATCTCTGGGTCCTACCCTGTCATACTAGATATGAATGTTTAGGAGAGCGGCAAAAATCTGCATGTTGTGCAAGCGTCCTGGGGGATGTACCTGCAGCTTGGAAACCATGGCTTTAGAAGTCGTCTTAGGTTAGCCTTCTACCTTTCACAGCTCTATTAGAAAGGGCCTGTGAATACCTCTGCCTAGATACCTCTGGTGAGAGAGTTCTCACCAACTCCAAGCCCACCCAGCCTACGGGTTTCAAAAATCACTTCCTTAAATTTAACCAGAAGCTACCACCCAAAAAACACCTACCCAGCTCTGCCCAGCGCCACACAGAGTGAGTTGATTTCCTCATCCACATGCCAAGCCCCTCAAGCATGTAGGGCTATTAACATGTGTCCCCACACCCACCTCAGTCTACCCACTCTAGTGGAAACAGCTCTAGTTCTTTTAACCATATTAAAAGATATGGTTGACAAAAGGAAAGTTAAAGAGGAAGAGAAAGATATTTGGTCAAGATTTAGTTAATAAGCCAGGAAGCCACAAATCCAAACCTCAAGTCACTATGAACCAAGCGCTGATGGAGCCATAGTCGGGCAGAGACTAAATCTGTTTCCAGTAGCCTGACCCTGACCAAGGACCACAGCGTGGAGCCTTGGGATCCTCATCTATAAAACCAGGTTAAGCCGAAACCGGTTTGGCTCAGTGGATAGAGCGTCGGCCTGCGGACTGAGGGGTCCCAGGTTCGATTCTGGTCAAGGGCATGTGCCTGGGTTGCGGGCATATCCCCGGTGGGAGATGTGCAGGAGGCAGCTGATCGATGATTCTCTCTCATCGATGTTTCTAACTCTCTATCTCTCTCCCTTCCTCTCTGTAAAAAATCAATAAAATATAAAAAAAAACAAAAAAAAAAAAACCAGGTTAATAACCCCACCTCAGGCTGTATAATAAAGATTAAAATGAGCAACCTGGGTAACTGTTATTTAAAGTCCCTCCAGGAAAGACAATGGAGCACCTATCAAACTGCCTTCATAAGTAGCCCTAATTGCAGTGAAAGCAAACCCTCAAGGGCTAGATTTGGGCCAAATCACAGTCCAAAGCCTATGCTAAAATGTTTTGAAGTTTCTTGTTTTACATTAAAAAGGTGTCTACACTTTGAATTTTACTCCAAAATTTATCTGTGGTGTATAAAAAAATTTTTTTTAGCCTTAATATTTGGGTAAAATTGACACCCAAGGAAAATTCCCCCCCACTCCCCTTACTTATTCTGAAACTTTAGGTGATCCCTGGCATACCGTCTACCATCCCCAAGGCCTGCCATTCACCTCCATCTCCCTTGGAGAGGAGCAGGCTTAGTTTACAAGCAGATTAGCAAGATGAGGAAAACAAATGAGTGACCAGACATAAGCAAAGAAACAAGCCACAAGACATGAGTCTGGGGGTGACCAGGAGGCTCAGTCTTCAGATGCTGAGAGCTGGTGTGGTCCCACTTGACTTGAAATCGCTTTCAGAGAAAAATTATCCCTAACAAAGGCAAGAACACCTAGGAGGGAAATTCATTGACACCATTGAGTCAGTAGTTGTGTGTTTGTGCATGCTGCGTCTATGTGTGTATGTATGTATGTGCCCAAAGCAATAGAAATCTGGCCTAAGATGAATGTAGGGGATCTGGCCTTGGCCAGACAGGGCTTTGGGAAGTAAGCCGGCCTTGGGTGGCTACGGTTACCCATTTTCTAAATCCTGTCCCCTTCCTCTCCTGCTTGCTCTTCCACCTGTCTGCCATCTGAGAAGTCCCTGGCTTGGCTATCAATAGAGTTACTTGCAATGGAAGGAGGAGGTGGGTTTCTAGAATTGATGGACAATGGGATGGATCATTCAGAGGAGGGGGTCCTATCCATTCTTCCCACAAATGTTGGGAAGATAGTTGAAAAGCGATAATATCTTTGGTCCTCAAGTCTCCATCCAGCTGGCCAAAGCCACGACAAAGGAGTGAAACTGAACCGCTGGCAGATTAAACAATTATTATTATTATCTAATATAATAATAACAGATTCAATAATAATAACAATATTAGTTATAGAGTCCTATGTGCCAGGCATTGTGCTGAGGGCATTAGATACACAAGGAGAGAAAAGGTAAGAAAGTAGGAGAAAGTTTCTTAAAAGGATCAAGGAAAGAATTGAAAAGTAAAACTTGGGTGTCAGACTGAGTCAGCTCCAGGGAATATGAGCTCAGTCCTTCGTTTTTAATGCCCAAACCCGCACAGTGCCTGGCGCGTGAACGACTGGGGTCCAGAGCTGTGTGACCTGCTCTGGGGTCCTTCTGGGTAAAGGCCGCGTTTGTCCCCTGGGAGCGAGTCGGGGCCGGGCCTCCCGCTCCACCCAGCGCCGCCCGGGCCGCCGCCACTCGCCGGCGACGGGAACCCCCTCCTGAGCGCGGCGCAGGCCCGGCGTCCCCCCCAGGCGCTCAGGGGTCGCCGCGCCCCCTTCCCCGCGCGCAGGACCCCGGCCCGGGGTCCCCTTACCGATCGCGCCGAGACGGGGCTTCGCCTGTCCTCAGTGGCTACGGAGGTCACACCCTCGCCGGGGCTGGGCAGCCGGTCTTATTCCTGCGGACCCGCCCCACTTCAGGGTGGAGACTGAGCCCGAGTTCCTGGTTGTTCCTCGGCCCACGAGACCGGAAAATCGGCCGGGGCGAAGCGCACCGGAACCCCAGACTGGGACCGCGGGGGGCGTCACCAGGCGGGGGGCGGGGGGGGGTTTGCACCGGACACGTGCCTGCTCCCCAGGCATCGGCAGGTCCCACTCTCCCGGCACCGGATCGCCTAGCCCGCCCGGTACCATCCCGCCCCGCTCCTGCCCTGAAGAGTGGGAGCTCCCGTACCCTCCGCGCCTCCGGTGCCCGCGGGCCTCTGCGCTGCAGCCGGGAGTCACGCCGCGAGTCAACTGCACTTTCTCACTGCGGGGCTCACGCTGAGCCTGTGCCTGGAAAAGTGGAAAGTCACATCATTGCCCTCTTGCGCGTTAAAATATACAGTCCAAGAGTTCCTAGTAGTTCCACTTCCCTCTGGTGGAAAACTGAGTTCCTTTCCTTGGGGGGAGCCTTTGGAGACAGGAGTTAGCAGCAGCCCCAGATCTTTCCCCCTTCACCTGATCAGTGACCGGGTTTGGTACTGGCCTGCAGCTCCCGGGTGCTCCTTGTTTACAAGTTTAGTGTGTTCGTGTCGCCTCCCCGCCTGGACACAACAAGCCTTTGGGAGGCACTGAGTCGAAGTCTTTGCACCTGCGCCCGCCCAGTACCGTTTCTCTGCAAGCGCTGAGTGAATGCTTGCAGAATGAATGCGTTGAGTCTACAGGCAAATTCCGATTTTAACCAAGGGTAGGTAGCTTTGGGGGAGTGTGTTAACTATTCAACAGACCAAACTCCAAGCGGCTATGAGCACCCTTCAAGCTGGAGACAAAAAGTTAAGTGGTTTCATTTCAGATGTAGCTGAAGGATCAGACGGATGCCGATTCTAAACTTGGTTTTGCCCCCTTTTCTCTGCCTGCAAACTTAAAGTTTCTGAGCTGCTGTTTATGAACCAAGGAGGAAGCAAAATTAAAGAGACAAACAGTAGAAAAAGAATAAAAGATGGATAATTCATTTCCTCAGAGAGACTATTACATCCCTTTAAAAATAACAATTAGGGAAATGCTGTCATTACCTGCCTTTTCCATTCACAGTGCTCGCAGCTCACAGCTTCTCCTTTCTCCCCATAACTTCTCCCAGCCCAGGTTGGGAAGCCACAGTCAGAAGCTAACTTTTATGGGGTACACAAAGCCAGGAATAAACCTGGGACACCTTTCCTATTCCAGAGCTCCCACAGACTTAGGCTGAGACTAAATTTGAGCAGAGACCCTATCTTTGCTCCGCTTCTTCCTCTACTAGCACACTGTCCTACTTCTCGCAGTTTCTCTTGAGAATATCCCTTCGCTGAGGCACTTACCTGGGAGAATCCCTATCTCAGGCTCTGCTTGGAGGAACCTGACCGAAGACACAGTGTTTTAAAAATTAATGTAGCTGTTGAAATGAAACACTCAAAGGAGCCTTTAAATTAAAGATAGCAGAATGAACACACGCATTTGCTTCAACTCCCTCTGGAAATCCATCCAATAAAAGAGCAGTTTTGTTTTGTTTTGTTTTTAATCTCGCGAGGACAAGGAAACAAGAGAGGAAAAAATAACAAAATTCTAGAAACCTCGAAAGCAGAGTGGCAGGTGATAATGGACTTCCTCAGACCCGAGAACACTGACATCTAAACCAGGAGTAGGGAAAGCTGAGAAGCAACATGATATTGTAGAATTTCTCAGGATACGCAGGAATTTGCTGCATCAGGTACTTTTGAAAGTGGGTGTATAGTTAAGACTAAAAGCAGGAGGATTTTTTTTTTTTCTAAGTCTGTATAGGAAACTCTCAGACTCCTCCATCCCCTTTCCACACTGCACAGCTGCCATTGCCTCTCTCCTAATTGGGTGGAAAATTGGAAACATTCGCTGGAGGCGATAAAGCAGAGGATCTCCAATACGGGACATTTCAGTTATAAAGTGTTTTGGTTATCTAAGGCTGCCGAACAAACTATCCCAAAACCTAGTGACTTAAAACAATGACCATTTTGTTATGCCTCATGATTTTGGGGGTCTGAATTTGGACAGGGCTTGACTGGGCAATTCTTCTGTTCCATGTGGCATCAACAAAGGTCACTTGGTGGTCTTCAGCTGGCAGCTGGGCCAGCCTGGAGGATTCACTCACATATCTGGCACCCTGGCAAGGATAGCTGGAAGGCTGGTCTCAGCCAGCACTGTCAGCCAGACCTCCTACATGGGCTCCCTCCCCAAGGCAGTCTCAGGGTAATGGGGTTTCCTACACGAAGGCCCAGGGCTTCCACAGAGGATACTCCAAGAGACCCAGAAAGAAGTTACTGGGCTTATTATCTAGGCTTGGAAGTCCCTGAATGTTATTTCCGTTGCATCCTATAGGTCAGCGGTTCTCAACCTGTGGGTCGCGACCCCTTTGGCGGTCGAAGGACCTTTTCACAGGGGTCGCCTAAGACCATCCTGCATATCAGATATTTACATTATGATTCATAACAATAGCAACATTACAGTTATGAAGTAGCAACAAAAATAATTTTATGGTTGGGTCACAACATGAGGATCTGTATTTAAAGGGCCAGAAGGTTGAGAACCACTGCTATAGGTCATGCAAATCACTACGGCCAGCCCAAACTCCAGGGAAGGGCAATTAGGCTCTAACCCTGATGGGCGTGTTATTGGACAGGGACCACCCTGAGAGGGTCTGCTTCTGTCTGGCCCGTAGTGTTTGGGATCTGGACTTGGGGCAGGAAATATTTCACACCGGGAGTCCAGGTGATTTTGTGACTGCATTTATTAAAGTTGGGGACAATTAAATAAGGAAGAGCCTAGGATAGAAGAAGCATCAGGAGAAAGAGTAGGTGGGCTGCATCGGCTCTCTGAAAACGTTATGGGAAAGAAGTGAGCCAGGCAGGGCTGCTGTCAGCTCACTGGAGAGTCAGAGAAAAGGGGCCTTGGGACAGGTTCAGGGGTGAGCCCCAGATGAGCTGATGCTGCCCATTGCTCCCCTGGTTGCAAGTCTCCTGGGATCCCTTAGAATTTCGGAGAAACATGCCTGTGGGAGAAGAAGATGGGGAAAGGGAAGGTGTGGGTGTGCTCCCAGGAGGGAGAGCGGGTGCTGTGTCCTACGTCTTGAGGGCTTTAAAGGCTGGGAGTTTAGGGAAGGTTTTAGGAAGGATTCCAACAGAATATTCATCAGCTTTTCCAGGTATAAACTTTCAGAATAGTGGTCTCCACCGATTGGCCGGCTCCAGGACAGGGGGTCATTAATCATCACAGCTGGTCCTGGCCTCGCCTGCCTGGTTTTGCTGCTTTTTCTGGGCCTGGATCTGAAAAGCAACTGAGGCCTAGATGTTATCTCTAGGGAGGAAAGGTCAGGAGGGTCTAACCTGCATGACCATAGATGATATGCCAGGGGAGTAAAGGCCACCCTGGGGGCGAGGTCCAGCACCAGTTTTGCCCGTTGCTAGGCCCTGGGGGCTTTTGCCCCGGTGACCTGCATCTGGCTGTAAATTGCTCAGCCAGCTTGTTCAGCTCTTAGTTTCCCCACTCCACTTGTCAAGGAATGTTCCTAGCTTTGTTCTCTCCTGCCTCAGGGAGACTAACAAAAAGAAAATTGCTGCCAGCTTTAATCTACCACCCAAGACTAGGGGGGTGATATGAAACTGAAGATGTATGTGAAACTTAATATGATGAATATGGAGCTGCTCAGTTGTCTTCCCTTGGCAGCCAGGACACTGGCAGCTAGGGTGGGGAGTTATTCTTCTCTGGGGAGGAGTTAAAGATCTAAAGAGACAGTCATCATTACTCAGTGAAACTGGAGCAACCCTTTAGTGAACTCACTGTCGTTACGCCCCACCCACTCACACACGAGCAAAGCTTCCAGGCAGCACTTTATCATTTTATTTTATTTTTTAAAAACATGTCTTTATTGATTTCAGAGAGAGGAAGGGAGAGGGAGAAAGGAATAGAAACATCAGTGATGCCGAAACCGGTTTGGCTCGGTGGATAGAGCGTCGGCTTGCGGACTGAGGGGTCCCAGGTTCGATTCCGGTCAAGGGCATGTACCTGGGTTGCGGGCACATCCCCAGTGGGAGATGTGCAGGAGGCAGCTGATCAATGTTTCTCTCTCATCCATGTTTCTGACTCTCTATCTCTCTCCCTTCCTCTCTGTAAAAAATCAATAAAAAAAAAGAAAAAGAAAAAGAAACATCAGTGATGAGACAGAATCCATGGGGGACTGAGCCCGAAACCCGGGCGTGTGCCATGACCAGGAATTGAACCGTGACCTCCTAGTTCATGGGTTGACACTCAACCACTGAGCCACACCAGCCAGGTCTAGGCAGCATTTTAGATCTCACTCTTAGGTTTGCAAAGTAAAATACAGAACACTTAGTTAAATTAAAATTTCAGATAAACAACAAATAAATTTTTACTGAAGTATAAAACATTTATATACTAAATATTGCATGGGACAGACTTATACTACAAATTATTTGTTATTTATCTGAAATTTAAATTTAACTAGGTGTCCTATTTTGTTTTGCTAAACCTGGCACTTTTAAATAAGAGCAGAGAGCTGAAGGTCATCAGAATTTAAGGGAAAGTTTTGACATGAAACATAGAACAAAAAAAAAAAAAAGAAACTTGGAAGAAAGAGACTCTTTTTGGACAAAGAAATAATAAATTTATAAGAAATTGATAGGACAAAAAAAAAGTTAGTGGTCATTAGAATGGAGTCTAATTTTGGGTATTTATTAATGAGAAATTGAAACAAAGCATTAAATTAGAAAAGAGCAACAAGATTTGTTTATACAGATTGTTTTGGTTCTGAGTTATTTAACTCTAACAATTAGGGGTGTCTTCCCAGGTGTGGGGAGGACACCTTCTACGTGGGAGATTTAATTCCTGCACTCAAGGAGACAAGGGAGGGCCAAGGTGCCCTTCTGGCGCCGGCTGCTTGTCAAGTAACGTTAATTCGAAGAAATCAATATGCCATTGTGGGCTACTTTGGGGC